ATACAAAAAGAATTCCAAGATTGGGAGTGCATTGATTCTATAGGTCAGTTTGGGGAAAACTAGCTATTTATAATATTGGGCTTTCTTAAGCAATGGTTTATTTAGGTCTTAATTTCCTAGGTAATGTTTTGTAGTACTGGGTACTTTGTACTTGTACATCTGTCAGGTTCCTAAAAACTGATGTTTTATATTATTGTACATGGTTATTAAATTTTATATTCAAATACTTGTTCCTGGTACATATACACTTGAATTTTGTGTGCTTTATGTTCATGAAACTTGCTTAACTTATTTATACTGAAAGTTTATATGTAAACTAAACATTCTTATGTTAATTATTTTGGATTTTCTACATAAACAGATGGCTGGCTCTCACAGGGTGTAGTTTGCCAAACCTCTAGTCTATGTTTATACTCCTTTTTCTGGATGGGAGTCTCTTGTCTGTCTGTAATGGTGTGTGCTAAATGCATGGTCGATCCAGCAGGAGGTCCAAGTTGCTGCTCAGGGGCACAGTGTGTCTTGAGTTTTCCAAAGCTGCCCCCTCTTTTCTGTATATTCAGTAAATTGAGTCCATGGTGCCAAATCCATTTCCAGCCCTCTTCATTCCTTTGTGTAGATCCATGTTTCCATCTGGTATCATTATCTTCAGCCTGAAGAATTTTAACATATCATGTAGTACAAATATTCAAGGAATAAGTCTTGCAGCTTTGGTCAAAAAATGTGTTTCTTCCTTTTGAATGACATTTTTACTGATACAATGAATATTCACTGTTTACTGTTTTTCTTTCCATCTTCAGGTCTCTGTTTTCAGGTCTAAGTCATTCCATTGCCTTCTAGCTTGTGTATTTTCTAGTAAGACTGTATTTCTTCTGTTTCTCTATATTGGGGGTCACAAATTTTTTCCTATACTAAGTATTTTTTGGTTCTGCAGGCCATGTAAGTCTTTGTCTTAACTACTCAACTCTGCTTTTATAGTGTGAAAACAGCCATAGACAATAGAAAAACAAATTGGTATGACAGTGTTCCAATAAAACTTTATTTATGACAAAACACAAGGCAGGTTAGATTTGGCTTGAGGGCTATATATAGTTTGCTTTGCTGACCTATGTTCTACATGTAATGGATTCTTTCTCTCTGGTTGCTTTTAAGAATTTTTATCAGTGTTTTTAATTAACTTGATTATGATGTATCTTGGTGTAATTTCCTCTATGTTATTCTGTTGGTTAAGCTTCATGGATTTTTCATTTCTTTCTTCATGGTGTTCATGTTTTTCTTTACATTTTTTAAAGCTCCTAGTTTGTCAATTCCTTCCTTTCCATAATATTTGGGTCTGTTTCTATTGATTGGTTTTTCTCCTGAGGATGAGTTATATTTTCCTCCTTTGAATGACTGATAATTTATCAGATGCTGGATAGTGTGAACTTTACTTTCTTAAATACTAGGCTTACTGTACTACTTTAAAAAGTTCAATTACAGAGGAGTTTGATCCATTCAAAGCCTGCTTTTAGTCTTTTTTAGGTGTAAAGGATCATTCTTTGTTCTAGGGCTAATTTAGCTCTTCTACTAAGCCTTTTCAAGGCTTAGCATAAGACAACCCAGAATAAAAGGGGAAACAATCAGTTTGGGAGGTTAGTATGAGAAGAGTTGAGCATAGAATTAAGTGAGCAGGAATTAGTTGACCAAAAGCAGGTTGGTTAGAGTGGGGTAAGGGGAATGGTGCGCTATACTGAGACTTGCATGTGCAAAAGCCTGGAGATGACAAGTACATGATGTTGTCTGAATAAGATCTATGAAAGATCCAATGTGACTGAAGGAGGACAGACATGGAAGAATAGAAGAGATTAGGCTAGTAAAGTAAGCAGAGATTAAGCAGGGATAGCAAGTGAGTCTTCTAAGAAGCATGTTTCTCAACTATTTAGATCACTACTAAGAAATTTTAACAAAGTAGATTTTTTTTTTGAATTAGGCTTTTTTTGAATTGGAGTAGGAAGGGATAAACTATTTGTGGAAATTTTATTTCATAACATTTATTGTAAGCCTTTACTAATATGTAATTTGCTTAAGTTTTTTGCTTACATTTTTATCTTACTTGTTACTGCAACTCCATTAGAGCATTGACTTTGGAGTTATAAAGACCTGGATTAAGTCTCAATTCTCACTTTTAAAAATCTCAATTTTCTATTTTTAGCTGCATGAATTTGAACTTTCGAGTGTCTTAATCTGAGTCTTTATTTTCCTTATCCATAAAGTGATTAGGGAGAGCAAAGCTATAAACCCACTTACAGGGCTGGTTATTAGTTAAAAGACATATAAATATCTACCAGTGCCCAGCATATGGTAGATAATATATGTTAGTCCCCTTGGATTAGCCCTATGAAAAAAACTCCTTTTCTAGCCTATAGATTCTATACCAATTCTGCACATTAAAATTACAGGAGGAACTTCAAGAAATACTGATGCCCAGTTCCCATGTAAGTCAGTTGGCCTGAGGTGGGGTCTAGATATGGTATTATTTTTATTTTTTTGTTAAAAAATGTTTTTGAGGTATCATTGATATATACTCTTATGAAGGTTTCACATGAAAAACAATGTGGTTACTACATTCATCCATATTATCAAGCTCCCCCATACCCAATTGCAGTCACCTTCCATCAGTGTAATAAGATGCCACACAGTCGCTACTTGTCTTCTCTGTGCTATACTGTCTTCCCCAGATTCCACCCCCCAGATACGGCATGATTTTTAAAAGCTCTCCAAGTGATTCTATAATGAATGCAAGGATGAAAGCTACTGATTTAGCTAAGGAAAGCTTTTTCATCCCTGTGAAATCAAGGAAGGTGAGTGTGTGTGTGTATGTCCAGCATAAAAAGCAAAACGTGAAGACACGAGATTAAGAGAAAAACAACAGCAGGCTATAAATGACACTGATGAGCACTGGCAACACACTTGGCTGACTTCTTAGATTCTATTTTTAATCCACACTAGTTACATAATATTGGGGCTAAAGATTTTACATAATAAATCTTTGACATTTTAAAAAGACTTGATTTTATGGAACTCTTTCATTTATTTAAAAATAATTTCTATAGGAATTTCTTTTTATATGGGGAAGCTGCAATTTCTTTATCAGACAGTTGTTTCTTTTAAAGCACTGCTTATTTTGAATCCCCCATTTATTATTTTGGGTTTCCTTATTCAATTCCAAAAAGGACTCTTAAGAAAATTAACTTAGTAAAACAAAATAAGGTTAACACCACGATGACAAGTAACAGTCTGGTAAATGCTTACATATATACACACATACACACACACACACACACACATATATATATACATGTGTATAGATATACATGGAGCAGCTCTTATTTTACACATTTTATGTTTCACTGAAATAACTTTTAATTGAAATATCCTAGCTGTTGCACTTTAACTTTTTAGTTACGGCATTACATTACATTACTCAAAGTTAAATCTTAACTTCTTCCAGATGATGTCAGTGAGTTACTAATAAATTCAGTTAACATGTCCTATTAACTTCTTATAAAATGTGGAAAACCTATCCTTCCTTAATTAAGAAATAGTTTTAGAAATCTAAACTCGTTTAGAAAAAAGCAGGGATGAAAGGATATACAAAGTATAGCATTCATATCAGCAAAGATACTAGACATGAAAATGAACTAAAGATAAATAGCAATAGTAGCGGTTGGGCTTCAGAGCCAGACACTGTAACATATGCAAGAGGCAGAGGAAAGTACAAGGGTTAGGAATATAGGAAATGAGAAAATAGTAGCAGTTGGGCTTCAAAGCCAGACAATGTAACATATGCAAGAGGCAAAGTACAAGGGTTAGGAATATAGGAAATGACAAGACCTATTATGACAGTACAGTAAAGCTGCAAGTAAGTAACAGGGATGCTAACTACTCACTGAGTAGTTATTTCTTCTGAAATATTCAGTTAAAAAGCTCTCTTTGCATAGAGTGTACTATGCTAAGCATGCAATCACGGGAAAAGATATACTGAGAATTAAGTCCTGGAGCAAAGTATACATCAAAATGGTGCTTTTCATTAACATCCATATACTGGACAACTATGCCAATTGTGTTTTTCTTAAACTGTGTGGGGCACACAATAAGCATTCAACTTCCTCTTACAAGAGGGTAAAGTTTTTAAAGCAGTAGTATGTGAAAACTACTTTTGTAAATAACATTATTAAAAAGGCATAGAACTTAGTAAGAAAGAATACTGCAGTTGTGAACTTGAGACGTAAGTTTTCAAATATTTTTTGTTCTTATCGATGTCAGTTAATAGGTTTTTTTCAACCTGTCACAAGGAACCCCTTTATCTCTAGGCATCACGAGGGATCTTTATTTCTACATCCAAAGGATTCTTCTGGAATCTTATGGTATGGAGACAAAAGTCTGAGATCTCTAGCCCAAAGTTGCCCTGCTTCTCTGATTATTTAGCTGGAAAAGAGAGGGAAGAAGATTGGATGGAGGATGCCTAGATTTCTTTCTCCACCTTGAGCTACATAATGTCCCGAGTCAGAGTTGCACAGGTACCTGTTTAGTGGATGGAGTAGCAAGGATTTATTACATTACATATAATTTCTTCTTTGCATTATCTCTGAAAAAATTCTACTTTTCTCACTGTGTCAGTAATCTTTGAAAGGAACAGACTTAGAATCCAGTTTTTCATTTTTGTTAGTAGTGAGATTTAATGTGCTCTTTTCAGCAGCAATGAGCAGCTTCATTTACCTTGGACTGAACTAAAAAGAAATAGCAATAGTAGCAGTCAGGCTTCAGAGTCAGACAATGTAACATATACAAGAAGCAGAGGAAAGTACAAGGGTTAGGAATATAGGAAATGAGAAAACCTACTATGACAATACAGTAAAGCTGCAAGTAAGTAACAGGGATGCTAACTACTCAGTGAGGAATAAAATGATCAGAGCAATCTTAATAATTATTGGTTCAATAAAAAATAAAAAAGTTCAGTTGGATAGATTTTTGAATGAAGCATCTTTTTATTCAGGTTACAAGTCTCCTATAGGAATAAATACTTTAAATTGGGCAAATGATTAATGTTACTATATTTTTAATCTTAAAAGGAAGTCTTTAATGTCAGGTCTTCAGTATTGGTATGAAGTTATCATCTGAATATGATCATTATTCATATGCTCAGTATTGTTACATGACTTAAAGTTTCATTTTTTTATCATTTTGAAAATTCAGTACATATTATTTTGACACAAAATACTTAAATGCTTTGATAGTCATAGATAAAACTCTGTAGATTATCAAAGTTCCTAGAAGCAGCTGAGTCCAACATCAATATACCACGTAAAAAACAAATTTACCAATTTCAATTAACTACTAACACTGATATAATCTGATGATAAATCATTACCTGGCCAATGGAACCAAAGAAACTAGAAATTCACTGTTAGGACAAGAAAAAACTCACAGGGAAGTATGATAAAAATCCCTCTGATTCATTCATTTATAGAGAAGCAAAAATCTCAGATCAATTCTGCAAAGAGTTTCCCATTTTTAACTAATCCAATCTAATCTTCCTGGTGACTGGAAACAGGTTTGGAGTGGGAGGCAGTGGTATAAAGATGTTTCGTTTTTAAGTATCACGATTAAAAGCTTGAGAAAAAGATAAACCTCAAATCACCAAAGAACATTCTTTCCTTTAAATGTTTTCAAAATAAATATGAGAACAATCTTCAGAACAATGCACAACTATGGGTAAGTTAAATCTCTGGGAAAGGGGACAATTGGGATAACTCTTGAAGACTGCATAATCAAGACCCCAGAGAACTGACTTGTGGGACTATGTAGGGTCTGACTTTTCAACTTTTTATCTGAAACTCTGAAATAGAAAAACAACTGTGTAAAACACATGACTCAAAATGAAAAAGAATTTACAACTCTAAAAATATGTGATCAATGTTTAATGACCCTAGGGTTAAGTAACCAAATCAAAAAAGATTTTATTACTTGACTAGGTTTATTTCCTCCAAATTCTTCTAAGAGTTAAAAATGAACTGTCACACTTATTGATTTAGAACCATCGGATTTGACTTCAGGAAAATCTAATAACTTTCAGAAAGTTATAATTTTAACATTAGCACAAAAAAATTACCTCCCAGCATTTCATTAAAAATGTTCTGCAGCCAAAGATTCCTATTTCTGAATTATAGTACTTCAAGGCACATACAGAACTCACCTCCTTCAAAACACAGAAGATATACTCCCTGAAATAGAATTTTAAAATCCATAAACAATTAGAAATACTACAAAGTTAGCAATTTATAGGTAAAATGTTACTCTTACAGTAGCATGCACCTTTCTTAAAATCAATTCAGCACATATGTATAAACGGTCCTTTTTAAAAAACATTTGTATTTGAAACGCAGATACAGTAATGCTGAAGACAGCACTAAAGAAATCTGAAAAATACTATATAGCTTGATAAATTTTCCATTATTGCCTTCATTAGAAACTGTATTATCTCTAGTCTTTTCAGAGATTTGAATTTAATAATGGGTTAACTACATGGGAAATAAAGGATTTTCTTTCTTTCTAAATAATATTTCCGTCACCCATAGCATCAATTATTTTATAAAAGATGCTAATATACTATATTAGAACTATATTTTTTGTTCAGCAAAAACTGATAGGACCTTTTAAGTGCCTTTACTAAATTTAATGCAGCTTAATTAGGGAATAGGTACCTATTTTCTTTCAAAAATTTATGGTCAAGCATGTCTAACCTTATAAGCAAATGGAATTTTAAGAGGTAGATTTTTTCCCCATGATGTATTTTGTCAATAAATGTATTGTCAAGAAAATAAAAACAAGCACTGAGTGTTTTCTAAAATTATAAGGGTCTAACGAAAAGAAAAAAGATATTTCCTACAGTCTTGAGATTTTAACAGTCATACTATTGGATGTTTTGTGAGCACTGCAGTCTGTACTCAGGATCAAAACACAAGCCTACCAACCGTGTTGAACCCCCCTCCACCCCCCCCACCAGCTGGTCCACAGCTTCCTGGTGGGTCACTGTCATCAGATCCATGGGGCCGAAATGAACAGGAGGCAGATGCAGCTTGTAGGGCCCGGGTTCGAGCATTCAACTCTTGCTCCTAAAATTAAAAAGAATTTTTATGAAATTAAAACCCTAAATATAATGAATGGATGGGTATATCACCTATATAAATATTTTATAGCTTCTTCAATCCTTAATAAGCATCCTTCAAATCCCAGTAATTTAAAAATGACTACAGTAATCTTTACCAAATCTTACTAAAGTAAGTATATAATCACAGATAGAGCAACAAAATAGAGAGGAAAATCCAGGTGTCACTCTAAGAATGCAGATCCTAAAAGCTCTTCTTTCTCAATATCCCACTACTGAAGAGGAAACTGAAGTCCTAGAACTACTCTACAGAAATACTAGTTCTTTCTATACTCATCAACACATATCGGAATCTAACACACATAAATGTAGAATTCAAAGGTTGTGACAATGGGTTATCTACTCTTTGTCAGGTGGGGCTATTTTAGAAGTGGATAATTACAGTAAAAGGTATAAGTAATGAAAGAAGCCTCAATTTCTTTCAACCCTTTCCTTACAATACTTCTTAGTAAATAAGGTAAGGCAGATCTAAAATACACTGCTAAGGAAAATGGAGCCTATCTCCTTACACTTTAATTAAAAATTTTCCCTGCTAGATTATTAGAACTTTTATCAGGAACCAGTCATATTCATCTAGGTGCCAGACATGTATCAGGTGCTCAATAAATATTAATGATCTCAGATTAGAACACTGTTAGGTACTTAGCCTCAAAAGAAGCATATGTGAATAAATAATAGCAAATTCATTTGGCAAGGTATTAAACTGGATTCTAAAACTGGCACAAACACCTTGGAAGAATATGCAAAACATTCTGGCATGTGCCCATTTTTCTGGGAAAGGGTCTGTAACTGTCATATGAAGTTGGTGTCAACAAGGTCTAAAAGCTACCCTTAACTTGTTAGGCATGATCATACTGAAGAACTTTCAAAATACAGTTAATATTAACAACAAAAACTGTACTATTTCCAACTTTTCAACTAAAAGCCCAGTACTTTGTTCCATCAGTCAAGGTAGTATTATTTTATAATTTATATATGAAATTGTTTTAGTTAACTACTCTCTACCCTTTATACCAGATGCCCAATTTCTTATTATGGAGAAAAAAAAAAACAGGCTCACTCTGACATCTGTCCCTCACATTATGGACAGACACCTTATTGCTTAGTAGCACACAGTGACAACTGATCAATTCCCAATACAAAAAATGATCAAGAGTAACATATTTTTATAGCTGAATGCCATCTTAGATAAGAAATCCCTGTAACAGAATGGCCTAATTTACCAGTCCTTGACAAGGTTTAAATTGGCTTTTAAAATGTAACCTTGAGGATATTTTTTGAAAACTTTTTTTCATTTACTGTGTCATTTGCAACATTTATAATTGCTGGTTCCTCTGTATAATGTTTAGCCATACAGTATTTTTCAAATGATGTATTAATTTATTCTTTAATCTGTAAAATCTGTTATGTTTTATAGATACAAAATAAAACTATAGATGTCAAAAATAGACACAAAAATACACAAAAATCCTCATTGCTCTAGCTCTATAACCTATTAAAATATCCAGACACACAATGAAAATATGACTGTAGCAGAACTGGTTTCACATACAGATCATGTTCTCTAATGAAATAAATACAACTGAATGCATATGCAAGGCAGAGTTCAATAAGTTGTGCTCCCAAAGGATACAGAATTTTGCCTGGTCTTTTAATCAAAGACTTTTTTTTCAATTAAAAAGTGATTTCTCCCCAGAAGTAATGTTGAAGGAGATGCAAAGTAAAAAATTAATAACTCCACTACTCTTGAGACACATGTAATCTATATTATATTACGAGAGAGAGCATCACCATAAAGTAATATTGCTTTTTACTTTCTTACCTACTTTATTTATATAAATATATAGCAGACAGAAAAAAATGTATGATAATCTGTTTTCAGAAGATAAGCTTAAACAAATGCATAAAAGTAGGGAGAACTGTTTTTCATTTTCTTTTATATAGGTGAGAACACTGTGCATAATGTAAAAAATTGACTCTCATAGCATATGTAATTTATATCCCAATTTTAATATCAAGTATTAAAATGAATTCTTATTTCAGTAGTGTAGTATTGGTTTAGTCTTAGAAAGGAGTTACTGGTGGTTTGGGACAAATAACTTTATATTTAGCTCTCTCATTCAAATAAATCTGTTAACATTAAATTAATCCATCTTTTAGTTTTCTTTTAAACTGCATATACCTTTATGGATACTTTCTGTATGTAGGGTAAAGGAAAAAGTTAAAGACATAAAACTACCACCTCCTCCAAAGAAACAAAGGAAAGAAACGCAACAAGATAGGATAGAAACTGTCTGCAGTTGCTGTAGGACACATGGCCATAGGTGAACTTCAAGTGCAATGATGATACTAACAACTCACACGATTCTCACTGGCTCCTAACCAAAAGAGTAATTTTTGTAGCCTAGACACTAAAATAATAGAGAAGGTCCTAAAGGAAGCTGGGCTGAGGGGAAAGAAACATATGAAGAAAAAACCCTTTCTAAAATTCAAGATCCACAATTTGCACTGCTTTCCTATGTGTCACCCTATGACACAGCTATGGTTTGTCACAGTTTTGCCCAGGCTTTTCAAAACCACTCATTTTGCCAATACTTGAAAGAGCAAGAGTTTTTTTTCTAACATTGTCAATCTTGTGACTTTAGTAAAATTTAAACATGGAATTCTAAAAATAATTCTTAAAGCCATACAAGGTGAATTTCTGATATGCCTGAGAAGTATTAAAAAAGAAAAGTAGTTACCCTGGTGAGTATGAAAGTGGTAAGCTCACCTTCAGTACTGCTGGAGAGCAAAGGAACTCAAAATGTTCATTAAACATCTTAACTTGTACTAGACTTGATTAAGTTTCTATAACCTTTTGTAAGAGACATAATGCTATTTCTTAAAATTTAGTTGTAGTCTAGACCCTAGCAATCTATAAAGCATTATTACTACAAATGGGCACAAATTTGTGTACCTCAAAAATGAATGTAAAAACAAAAAATGAGAGTAAGATCAAAAGCATACACACATGCTCCATGTGTTTAAAACCGAAAACTGATGCCTAAAAACTGTTGTACACGAGATCTCACCACCACATATTCCTACTCATCAGCATAGCAAAACAATAGTTTCTTAACACAAACTTAAAATACCAGAATGATTTAGTTAAATAGTATGGGAAATACCACAATTCAAAACTTATCAGTAGCATTATTATTTTTTAAAGTAAATAATACAGTCTAAATGTATGTGTGTTTCTAATTAAAAGTTGAGTTTTTATTATTGTAATCTGCTTTAAAAAGTCATTTTGATAATGAAGCTTTAATAGTTCATCTTAATACAGGTAAATAAAAACCTCAATGTGAAATTTGGCATTATCTTTTTTGCATCCAACAACTTGCCAATCTGAGACTTAAGATGAAATTCAGAACAAATGCACAACACTGAAAAATTACATTAACAAAGTACATAATGCTTTTTATTTATATGACAAAAGGGCCTTAAAGCAATAATGAAAAGAATGGCTCATCACACTCAAATACTGTAAAATCAGGATCTAATGGGGTAAACGTCAAGGTAAAATCATATAGAGGTAGACTGTAATACAAGTAGTTGTTAGGGTTATAAGCACTTTTGGCATTCCAATCACAGAAATTAGAGTAGTTTCTCTTCTTTTCAAAACCCATGTTATTCCTTTGGTAAATGTAACATTCCACCTGATCACTGAAACATAAATAATCTGAATTTTTCCAAAAGTCAAGATCACACTGGGCCTTACTTTCCATATTTTATATTATAGAAAATTCGTATTTCAACCTAACCCTCTTACCCTCAACTGTACCTCTCCAGAGTCTAAAAATCATTACTAATACCTAGGACTTACATGGTATCTAGCAAAGAGGAGATGGTTTGAATATATTCTTACCTTGATCTTAATAAGACTGGATGTTTGGATCATTAGTAGTGAATTAGTTCTAACAAAAATTCTAAATTTCTGATTTTTTTTTTGTGAAATTGTTTTTGTGTCACTCTAGAACATTGCTATGCTCCTTTAACAGTGTTTCATGCACATAATTTGAGTATTTTATTGTACAGTAAATTTGAAAACATTTGAGAAAATTTCCCTCTAAAAATCAGTACTATAGTGGCCTATTTCTTCTTTTATTCTATCTGTGCTTTTTAGGAGTTTTGTGACTTTCAAACACAAAATTTTTAGAAACTTATTTGTTTAAACTCATAAAATCATTTCTACTACCCAGTTAATACACCTGTAATTTCACCTACTGTTGGCCCTTTATAGTAACAAATCGTCAGGTTTCAAAGTACTTTCAGCAAGATCTTCAATAACTTTGGTAATAAAATCACTAATTCCTTGCAAAAAGTATTATATATAAGTAAATTAAACTCATATGAACCTTTTATTCCATGGCTTCTATTAACTAATTGTTATAACAATCTATTGGTCAGGTCCTTAAAGAATACAAAAACCCTTTATTTATCTGTTCTACCTTTTAGTGTCCTTTATTACCTGAACATCAAGAAATAGCACTTCAAATATTTATTTATACTAGAAGGAAAAACATGAAATTTAGCAGTTCTTTCCCCTAGCAGGTGGGACTAAAGGAAATGCAAAATAACTCCAATTTTAGTATTCTAAAACTTCCTGTATTTCTGTATGGAATGATTTTATAATGATCACATCTTTGTAGTTAAAAACAAATAAGGTTGTCTATACTGCATCTGATTGTGACTTTTCATAATTAACTCATGACATTAGGAAGTAAGACAATTTAGCTATAAAGGTTGAAATCATTTCATATAAACCCAGATTCAAATTTCAGAATTACCACTCTGTAAATTCCTTGAAAATGTAGAAGTGGGATTTCAAAATTAGGGCACTCACTTAACTACATATCAATTGCCTAAGTATTTTCCAGAAATGATAAAGCTTGTATTTCAACTTACCTGTAAATACAGTTTATTGTCTTTTGTTATAGCATCCATAAGTTCTTTCTGCAGAGGTGGGTCTCCATTTACCCAGAGTCCACTGGTTGAATTATTACCATTTAAACCATTGGTGCTGTTATGTTTTTTATACAAAAGGACATAAGCTGTGTCCTTTGGAAACCTACTCGTAATTTTCTGGACTGACTGAAATGAAGTAAACGTCACTCTGCTGTCATTAAATAAAAACCATTCTTTGGACATTTCCTTATTTTCTAAATTCTGTTCAATAACTGCACTGGGACTATTTCTCCCTAGTAAATGACTCTGGGATGATGCTAATGCCAAAGTTTCAGACTGGTGGCATATCTGGCATGAGGACTCTGTGCCTGCGATGTTTCTGGCATAAGAATAGTAATGCCCACTTTCAGAAGATATACCAGAGTGAACAACAACGGAACTTAACAGATAGGGAACCAGTTTTGGGCAGCAAGCTTCCTCAGTTCCAGAAGGCTTTAATTTTTTAGCTAGGTTCTCACTAGTATCAGTGAAGTCAACATCTATAGACCAACTTTCTGATAGTGAAGAGAAAGAAGTAGTTCTTTTAACTGGCAACTCCAAAACCAGTGGCAGTGACACATTGTCTAAAATTTTTCTTCTCACATGATACTTCTGATCATATGAAAATCTTAGGAGAGTAAGAATAAGGTATTCAGGTTCCTCTGTGATTTGCATAGTTTTCTCAGCATTCTGCAGAGAGGCACAGTTTTCACAATAATATTGGTTGTCATCAGTGAGAATCTCTGGAGCCAAAAAATAATTTAGTAAGTCCGTTACTGAAGGTGTAGTTTCACCTCCTGGTTTCTGAGGTACATTTTTATTAACAAGAATCTTGCTAGATTCATTAGGGACCAAAGTGTCTTCAGCACAGCAGAAAGCATCAGGACTGCTCACCATGCTCCCTCTCACGGCCGAGCCACAGGAAAAGGTGGCTGCTGCTGGGTCATGAACTCCTGGCTCTTCCAAAGGACCCACAAGACTAGTGCACATTAGGTTGCCATCCTGTGTATTGACTGATGATGCTGGATCTTGAAAAGACAAGTTTTCCAAAGAAGAGGAAGGACAAAAGGCAAGCGAAAGATCGGTAAAGGCTTCCACTTTTTGTGAGGTACTAATTTCTGAATTATAGTACTTCAAGGCACATACAGAACTCACCTCCTTCAAAACACAGAAGATATACTCCCTGAAATAGAATTTTAAAATCCATAAACAATTAGAAATACTACAAAGTTAGCAATTTATAGGTAAAATGTTACTCTTACAGTAGCATGCACCTTTCTTAAAATCAATTCAGCACATATGTATAAACGGTCCTTTTTAAAAAACATTTGTATTTGAAACGCAGATACAGTAATGCTGAAGACAGCACTAAAGAAATCTGAAAAATACTATATAGCTTGATAAATTTTCCATTATTGCCTTCATTAGAAACTGTATTATCTCTAGTCTTTTCAGAGATTTGAATTTAATAATGGGTTAACTACATGGGAAATAAAGGATTTTCTTTCTTTCTAAATAATATTTCCGTCACCCATAGCATCAATTATTTTATAAAAGATGCTAATATACTATATTAGAACTATATTTTTTGTTCAGCAAAAACTGATAGGACCTTTTAAGTGCCTTTACTAAATTTAATGCAGCTTAATTAGGGAATAGGTACCTATTTTCTTTCAAAAATTTATGGTCAAGCATGTCTAACCTTATAAGCAAATGGAATTTTAAGAGGTAGATTTTTTCCCCATGATGTATTTTGTCAATAAATGTATTGTCAAGAAAATAAAAACAAGCACTGAGTGTTTTCTAAAATTATAAGGGTCTAACGAAAAGAAAAAAGATATTTCCTACAGTCTTGAGATTTTAACAGTCATACTATTGGATGTTTTGTGAGCACTGCAGTCTGTACTCAGGATCAAAACACAAGCCTACCAACCGTGTTGAACCCCCCTCCACCCCCCCCACCAGCTGGTCCACAGCTTCCTGGTGGGTCACTGTCATCAGATCCATGGGGCCGAAATGAACAGGAGGCAGATGCAGCTTGTAGGGCCCGGGTTCGAGCATTCAACTCTTGCTCCTAAAATTAAAAAGAATTTTTATGAAATTAAAACCCTAAATATAATGAATGGATGGGTATATCACCTATATAAATATTTTATAGCTTCTTCAATCCTTAATAAGCATCCTTCAAATCCCAGTAATTTAAAAATGACTACAGTAATCTTTACCAAATCTTACTAAAGTAAGTATATAATCACAGATAGAGCAACAAAATAGAGAGGAAAATCCAGGTGTCACTCTAAGAATGCAGATCCTAAAAGCTCTTCTTTCTCAATATCCCACTACTGAAGAGGAAACTGAAGTCCTAGAACTACTCTACAGAAATACTAGTTCTTTCTATACTCATCAACACATATCGGAATCTAACACACATAAATGTAGAATTCAAAGGTTGTGACAATGGGTTATCTACTCTTTGTCAGGTGGGGCTATTTTAGAAGTGGATAATTACAGTAAAAGGTATAAGTAATGAAAGAAGCCTCAATTTCTTTCAACCCTTTCCTTACAATACTTCTTAGTAAATAAGGTAAGGCAGATCTAAAATACACTGCTAAGGAAAATGGAGCCTATCTCCTTACACTTTAATTAAAAATTTTCCCTGCTAGATTATTAGAACTTTTATCAGGAACCAGTCATATTCATCTAGGTGCCAGACATGTATCAGGTGCTCAATAAATATTAATGATCTCAGATTAGAACACTGTTAGGTACTTAGCCTCAAAAGAAGCATATGTGAATAAATAATAGCAAATTCATTTGGCAAGGTATTAAACTGGATTCTAAAACTGGCACAAACACCTTGGAAGAATATGCAAAACATTCTGGCATGTGCCCATTTTTCTGGGAAAGGGTCTGTAACTGTCATATGAAGTTGGTGTCAACAAGGTCTAAAAGCTACCCTTAACTTGTTAGGCATGATCATACTGAAGAACTTTCAAAATACAGTTAATATTAACAACAAAAACTGTACTATTTCCAACTTTTCAACTAAAAGCCCAGTACTTTGTTCCATCAGTCAAGGTAGTATTATTTTATAATTTATATATGAAATTGTTTTAGTTAACTACTCTCTACCCTTTATACCAGATGCCCAATTTCTTATTATGGAGAAAAAAAAAAACAGGCTCACTCTGACATCTGTCCCTCACATTATGGACAGACACCTTATTGCTTAGTAGCACACAGTGACAACTGATCAATTCCCAATACAAAAAATGATCAAGAGTAACATATTTTTATAGCTGAATGCCATCTTAGATAAGAAATCCCTGTAACAGAATGGCCTAATTTACCAGTCCTTGACAAGGTTTAAATTGGCTTTTAAAATGTAACCTTGAGGATATTTTTTGAAAACTTTTTTTCATTTACTGTGTCATTTGCAACATTTATAATTGCTGGTTCCTCTGTATAATGTTTAGCCATACAGTATTTTTCAAATGATGTATTAATTTATTCTTTAATCTGTAAAATCTGTTATGTTTTATAGATACAAAATAAAACTATAGATGTCAAAAATAGACACAAAAATACACAAAAATCCTCATTGCTCTAGCTCTATAACCTATTAAAATATCCAGACACACAATGAAAATATGACTGTAGCAGAACTGGTTTCACATACAGATCATGTTCTCTAATGAAATAAATACAACTGAATGCATATGCAAGGCAGAGTTCAATAAGTTGTGCTCCCAAAGGATACAGAATTTTGCCTGGTCTTTTAATCAAAGACTTTTTTTTCAATTAAAAAGTGATTTCTCCCCAGAAGTAATGTTGAAGGAGATGCAAAGTAAAAAATTAATAACTCCACTACTCTTGAGACACATGTAATCTATATTATATTACGAGAGAGAGCATCACCATAAAGTAATATTGCTTTTTACTTTCTTACCTACTTTATTTATATAAATATATAGCAGACAGAAAAAAATGTATGATAATCTGTTTTCAGAAGATAAGCTTAAACAAATGCATAAAAGTAGGGAGAACTGTTTTTCATTTTCTTTTATATAGGTGAGAACACTGTGCATAATGTAAAAAATTGACTCTCATAGCATATGTAATTTATATCCCAATTTTAATATCAAGTATTAAAATGAATTCTTATTTCAGTAGTGTAGTATTGGTTTAGTCTTAGAAAGGAGTTACTGGTGGTTTGGGACAAATAACTTTATATTTAGCTCTCTCATTCAAATAAATCTGTTAACATTAAATTAATCCATCTTTTAGTTTTCTTTTAAACTGCATATACCTTTATGGATACTTTCTGTATGTAGGGTAAAGGAAAAAGTTAAAGACATAAAACTACCACCTCCTCCAAAGAAACAAAGGAAAGAAACGCAACAAGATAGGATAGAAACTGTCTGCAGTTGCTGTAGGACACATGGCCATAGGTGAACTTCAAGTGCAATGATGATACTAACAACTCACACGATTCTCACTGGCTCCTAACCAAAAGAGTAATTTTTGTAGCCTAGACACTAAAATAATAGAGAAGGTCCTAAAGGAAGCTGGGCTGAGGGGAAAGAAACATATGAAGAAAAAACCCTTTCTAAAATTCAAGATCCACAATTTGCACTGCTTTCCTATGTGTCACCCTATGACACAGCTATGGTTTGTCACAGTTTTGCCCAGGCTTTTCAAAACCACTCATTTTGCCAATACTTGAAAGAGCAAGAGTTTTTTTTCTAACATTGTCAATCTTGTGACTTTAGTAAAATTTAAACATGGAATTCTAAAAATAATTCTTAAAGCCATACAAGGTGAATTTCTGATATGCCTGAGAAGTATTAAAAAAGAAAAGTAGTTACCCTGGTGAGTATGAAAGTGGTAAGCTCACCTTCAGTACTGCTGGAGAGCAAAGGAACTCAAAATGTTCATTAAACATCTTAACTTGTACTAGACTTGATTAAGTTTCTATAACCTTTTGTAAGAGACATAATGCTATTTCTTAAAATTTAGTTGTAGTCTAGACCCTAGCAATCTATAAAGCATTATTACTACAAATGGGCACAAATTTGTGTACCTCAAAAATGAATGTAAAAACAAAAAATGAGAGTAAGATCAAAAGCATACACACATGCTCCATGTGTTTAAAACCGAAAACTGATGCCTAAAAACTGTTGTACACGAGATCTCACCACCACATATTCCTACTCATCAGCATAGCAAAACAATAGTTTCTTAACACAAACTTAAAATACCAGAATGATTTAGTTAAATAGTATGGGAAATACCACAATTCAAAACTTATCAGTAGCATTATTATTTTTTAAAGTAAATAATACAGTCTAAATGTATGTGTGTTTCTAATTAAAAGTTGAGTTTTTATTATTGTAATCTGCTTTAAAAAGTCATTTTGATAATGAAGCTTTAATAGTTCATCTTAATACAGGTAAATAAAAACCTCAATGTGAAATTTGGCATTATCTTTTTTGCATCCAACAACTTGCCAATCTGAGACTTAAGATGAAATTCAGAACAAATGCACAACACTGAAAAATTACATTAACAAAGTACATAATGCTTTTTATTTATATGACAAAAGGGCCTTAAAGCAATAATGAAAAGAATGGCTCATCACACTCAAATACTGTAAAATCAGGATCTAATGGGGTAAACGTCAAGGTAAAATCATATAGAGGTAGACTGTAATACAAGTAGTTGTTAGGGTTATAAGCACTTTTGGCATTCCAATCACAGAAATTAGAGTAGTTTCTCTTCTTTTCAAAACCCATGTTATTCCTTTGGTAAATGTAACATTCCACCTGATCACTGAAACATAAATAATCTGAATTTTTCCAAAAGTCAAGATCACACTGGGCCTTACTTTCCATATTTTATATTATAGAAAATTCGTATTTCAACCTAACCCTCTTACCCTCAACTGTACCTCTCCAGAGTCTAAAAATCATTACTAATACCTAGGACTTACATGGTATCTAGCAAAGAGGAGATGGTTTGAATATATTCTTACCTTGATCTTAATAAGACTGGATGTTTGGATCATTAGTAGTGAATTAGTTCTAACAAAAATTCTAAATTTCTGATTTTTTTTTTGTGAAATTGTTTTTGTGTCACTCTAGAACATTGCTATGCTCCTTTAACAGTGTTTCATGCACATAATTTGAGTATTTTATTGTACAGTAAATTTGAAAACATTTGAGAAAATTTCCCTCTAAAAATCAGTACTATAGTGGCCTATTTCTTCTTTTATTCTATCTGTGCTTTTTAGGAGTTTTGTGACTTTCAAACACAAAATTTTTAGAAACTTATTTGTTTAAACTCATAAAATCATTTCTACTACCCAGTTAATACACCTGTAATTTCACCTACTGTTGGCCCTTTATAGTAACAAATCGTCAGGTTTCAAAGTACTTTCAGCAAGATCTTCAATAACTTTGGTAATAAAATCACTAATTCCTTGCAAAAAGTATTATATATAAGTAAATTAAACTCATATGAACCTTTTATTCCATGGCTTCTATTAACTAATTGTTATAACAATCTATTGGTCAGGTCCTTAAAGAATACAAAAACCCTTTATTTATCTGTTCTACCTTTTAGTGTCCTTTATTACCTGAACATCAAGAAATAGCACTTCAAATATTTATTTATACTAGAAGGAAAAACATGAAATTTAGCAGTTCTTTCCCCTAGCAGGTGGGACTAAAGGAAATGCAAAATAACTCCAATTTTAGTATTCTAAAACTTCCTGTATTTCTGTATGGAATGATTTTATAATGATCACATCTTTGTAGTTAAAAACAAATAAGGTTGTCTATACTGCATCTGATTGTGACTTTTCATAATTAACTCATGACATTAGGAAGTAAGACAATTTAGCTATAAAGGTTGAAATCATTTCATATAAACCCAGATTCAAATTTCAGAATTACCACTCTGTAAATTCCTTGAAAATGTAGAAGTGGGATTTCAAAATTAGGGCACTCACTTAACTACATATCAATTGCCTAAGTATTTTCCAGAAATGATAAAGCTTGTATTTCAACTTACCTGTAAATACAGTTTATTGTCTTTTGTTATAGCATCCATAAGTTCTTTCTGCAGAGGTGGGTCTCCATTTACCCAGAGTCCACTGGTTGAATTATTACCATTTAAACCATTGGTGCTGTTATGTTTTTTATACAAAAGGACATAAGCTGTGTCCTTTGGAAACCTACTCGTAATTTTCTGGACTGACTGAAATGAAGTAAACGTCACTCTGCTGTCATTAAATAAAAACCATTCTTTGGACATTTCCTTATTTTCTAAATTCTGTTCAATAACTGCACTGGGACTATTTCTCCCTAGTAAATGACTCTGGGATGATGCTAATGCCAAAGTTTCAGACTGGTGGCATATCTGGCATGAGGACTCTGTGCCTGCGATGTTTCTGGCATAAGAATAGTAATGCCCACTTTCAGAAGATATACCAGAGTGAACAACAACGGAACTTAACAGATAGGGAACCAGTTTTGGGCAGCAAGCTTCCTCAGTTCCAGAAGGCTTTAATTTTTTAGCTAGGTTCTCACTAGTATCAGTGAAGTCAACATCTATAGACCAACTTTCTGATAGTGAAGAGAAAGAAGTAGTTCTTTTAACTGGCAACTCCAAAACCAGTGGCAGTGACACATTGTCTAAAATTTTTCTTCTCACATGATACTTCTGATCATATGAAAATCTTAGGAGAGTAAGAATAAGGTATTCAGGTTCCTCTGTGATTTGCATAGTTTTCTCAGCATTCTGCAGAGAGGCACAGTTTTCACAATAATATTGGTTGTCATCAGTGAGAATCTCTGGAGCCAAAAAATAATTTAGTAAGTCCGTTACTGAAGGTGTAGTTTCACCTCCTGGTTTCTGAGGTACATTTTTATTAACAAGAATCTTGCTAGATTCATTAGGGACCAAAGTGTCTTCAGCACAGCAGAAAGCATCAGGACTGCTCACCATGCTCCCTCTCACGGCCGAGCCACAGGAAAAGGTGGCTGCTGCTGGGTCATGAACTCCTGGCTCTTCCAAAGGACCCACAAGACTAGTGCACATTAGGTTGCCATCCTGTGTATTGACTGATGATGCTGGATCTTGAAAAGACAAGTTTTCCAAAGAAGAGGAAGGACAAAAGGCAAGCGAAAGATCGGTAAAGGCTTCCACTTTTTGTGAGGTACTCCTGCAGTTCAAACAACATATGTGAGTTCGTAGTTTTCCTCCAAACATTTTTTCTATTAAAGTCTTCTCACGACCACTTGTGCAAGGGGTCTCTGCCAATACAGGCGCCTTACTGGCTACTTTCTGTAAAGAAGTTTCACTGCACCCCAGACTTTCAGACTTGTGTGAGGAATGAACGTTGAAGATCTTTTCTTCTTCATGAAGCCTGCAGGAGAATATATCATTATATAGCTACTTCATGTAAGTTTAAATGTCATTTCTATTAGAAAATATTAGTGTCTTATGTAAACAGTCAAATTATCAGATATAATGCTTAATTTAAAAAATCAAGTTTCTCCTTTTTTAAGCAAGGGGAATACTGAACAGTTTGAGAATGTATGTTAGAAGTTAGGGATATTATTATTCTATATTCTCATTACATTTCTTCATACTGCTATTTTATAGCACTTACTACATTATAGTTAATTATATATGTAACTGTCTTACATATCTTTTGTCAGCCTGGCATTTCATAGAAAGCTTGGCACAAAGAAACTACTCAACATATCCTTAGCTGAACAGAAGAAAGGTTGCACATACTGAGCTCAACTAACTTTACTTACTAGTCATACAATAGAAGGGAGGCAAAGAAGGGGAGGTACAGGAAGGTAACAGGTTTTGTTAACTAAGTGGTAAGGAGACAATAAAATATACCAAACCCAGTCAATTTTGAACTGTTCTAAGGGAGCAGCTATTAAATTTTTTGGTCTCAGGATCCCTTTATACACTTAAATATAATTGAGGAACTCAAGAACTTTCATTTATGTGGTTATATCTACCAATATTTACTGTACTCAAAAATACTGAGAACAAAACAATACATTTAAAAATAACAATAAGTCCATTGCATGTTAATATAGTTAACATTTTAATATGAAAAAGTTGCATTTTCTAAAACCCCCTAAAATTAGTGTGAAGAATGGCACTATTATACATTTTACAAATATTTCAAGTATCTGGCTTAATAGAAGATAGCTGGAGCCTTATATCTGCTCTGCATCTAATCTATTGTGATATGTTGTTTTGGATGAAGCATATGAAGAAAATCTGGCCTCAGCTACATTTGCACAGATATGTATTTGGGAAAAGGAAGACATCTGAAAGTGTTTTGGGAGCATCTAGTGCTCCTTGTACCATACTCTGGGAACATCTGGTGATCTGGTGTAAAAAAAAGAAACGAAACCAAAATAAAAACAAAGAAACACTTAAAAAATACAATTAACACAAGGTATTTTAAAGGTTAACACTTAAAATGTATTTTTAAAGGTAAAAACAATATTCTGTAGAAATAACCAGTTATAAAAAAAATGCATATAACTTAAAAATACTGTTACCTGTCTAGTAGAAACCTGAGGTATTCAGAACAGTCTTGCTGTGATCTGGGGGTAAACCATGGAGGTCTGGAAGCCTCAAAGAATATTCGAGGTGCATATGCTTCTCTCTTTCGACATTGGTAGAGAAAATAAAAGGAAATGCTTCTCACACCATGAACCAAATTATTGAAATCTTAATATATAATGTTTAATAACTATTACTTTAAAATTGTATAGTGCTTAACCTTCACCACATTTGGTATGTGAAGTTTAAAGATTATCATCAATGATGCTAACATATGCATACTACACACACTTCTACTCACCTGTGTATGAGCCAAAAAGGCAAAAAGATGCTGTAATTTTTTCATTAATGAATTGCAACCATTTAGATTTAAAGATAATACTTGTCTCCTGAAACTGAAAGAGAATAAAATATTTGTATTTTTGTATACATGTGTACACACACTTTTTTAAAAGTATCTTTTAAACACTAAAAGAAAAGTTAGTTCAAAAACTTATTATCCCCAAAGTAAAACTTCATTTACCTGATGGCCCTTTACTTAGCAAAGTTACTACTCACAATGTCTTGAAGAAGGAAGGAGAGAATGATGATAAATGAGCACTTACTATGTGGCCTGGCAATGGGCTATGTGCTTTCACATATTTCTATTTTCTGAATTAGCAAATAGAAATAGATTAAGCTTTTTTCAAATCTTCATGAAAATAAAATGCTGTACTCAAAACATACTATAAAGCTACAGTGATTTAAAGAGTGTGCTGCTAGTACAAATGGGAAAAGGATAAACTATTCCAAAATAGCATACGAACAAACAGCTATCCACTTGGAAAGTTAGATTAAGATTTTAAATCATACAGCAGTAATGGGCTAAATGTAAAATACAAAACTACCAAAGTATTTAAAAGAAAAAAGAGAGGGGAAAGGTTTCCTAAAATTCAGACACTATAAATGAAAAATAGCAGATTTGATTATATAAAATAGAAAACTGCCAATGAAAACACTCTACAAATCTGAATTGCACTGACTAGAAGAAAGCATGTGACAAAGGATTATCATCTAGAATATATATAAATTACTAAGAAAAAGAAAAAGACCCAACAGAAAGCTGCATAAAGAAAGAATAGGTTATTCAGAAAAGAAATACAAGTGAACAAAGAGGGGGGCAAAAAAATATTACAAATTAAAACAAACATTTTTTTTCTTAGACTGGAAAAAAGTTTAAAAAGTACTGCTAAAGGTATGGGGTCATAGCAATCATGTATTAGTTAGCAAATTCAAATGCTGTAGCCTTTCTGGACATCAACTTTGCATATCCAGTTCAAATATCCTCTATATCTACATATGGGCAGAGAGATGTTAATAATGAGCAAAATAACCTAATACTTAACAGGAGTAAAGTTAAATAAATTATAGCACACCCATTTACTCAGAATGACATAGTTCTATCATTGCCCTACATAGGAATATTTCCAACACAAATTAAAGGATAAAAGGATACAATTAAAGGATAAAAGCAGGTGCTGGAAAAGAATATGTAAACAAGATTCCCTATAAACATAAAAAAAATGCATCTGGTTTTGTATTAGATAAAATCTTATGACTACAAAAAAGGTCTAGACAAATGCACATAAAACTGTTAATAAATTACCTTTGGGAATTAGAATGTTGGATTTTTTGAAAACTTTTTTAATGTCATATTTATTTTATACTTCCAGATTTAATTTTTTAAAACATGGAGAACTCATATGTTACAAAAGAAACTATTTTATCTGCTTTGGGTCTCTGCTTTCTCTATCATTTGTGAAATGAGATGGCTAGACTAGCTGACCTTGGTGGTGAGATATGGACTCTTTCAGTTTTATGCCTACTATCACTTGTGTGTAAGAGCACATACACACTTTCATAAAAAACAAACAAAAAATCCCAAATACAAACAATTACAAAATAAAATATTAAACCAAACAATAAGCACCTTAGTGTTGATAGTACATTCTGGAGCTAGGAAACAAAATGAAACTACTCATCTTTTAGTTTATGATTCCTCTAGGTAGGCTATAAAAATTTACAAAAGAAAGACCTATACCCTGAAAACTACATGACACACTCTTGAGAGAAATTTGAGAAGACACTAATAAATGGAAATATATTCCATGCTCATGGGAAGAATTAATATTGTCAAAATAGCCATCCTGCCTAAAACAGTCTACAGATTCAATGCAATCCCTATCAAAATACCGACAGCATTCTTCAATGAACTAGAACAAATAGTTCTAAAATTCATATGGAACCAAAGAAGACCCCAAATAGCCAAAGCAGTCCTGAGAAGAAAGAATAAAGCGGGGCTGGGGGATTATGCTTCCCAACTTTGAGCTCTACTACAAAGCCACAACAATCAAGACAATTTGGTACTGGCAGAAAAACACATCCATATTTCAATGGAATAGAATAGAGAGTCCAGATATAAACCCACACATATATGGCCAATTAATATATGATAAAGGAGCCATTGACATACAATGGGGAAATGACAGCCTCTTCAACAGCTGGTGTTGGCAAAACTGGACAGCTACATGTAAGAGAATGAAACTGGATTACTGTCTAACTCCATACACAAAAGTAAACTTGAAATGGATCAAAGACCTGAATGTAAGTCATGAAACCATACAATTCTTAGAAGAAAACAGGCAAAACTCTCTTGAATATAAAGAGGAGCGACTTCTTCATGAACATCTCTCCCCAGGCATGGGAAACAAAAGCAAAAATGAATAAGTGGGGCTATATCAAACCAAAAAGCTTCCGTACAGCACAGGACGCCATCAGTAGAATAAAATGGCATCGTACAGTATGGGAGATTATATTCATAAATGACATATTTGATAAGGGGTTAACATCCAAAATATATAAAGAGTTCACATGCCTCAATACCCAAAATGCAAATAACCCAATAAAAAAATGGGCAGAGGACATGAACAGACATTTCTCCAAAGAAGAAATTCAGATGGCCAACAGGCACATGAAAAGATGATCCACATCACTAATCATCAGAGAAATACAAATTAAAACCACAATGAGGTATCACCTCACACCAGTTAGGATGGCCAACATCCAAAAGAGAAGGACCAATAAATGCTGGCAAGGATGCAGAGAAAGGGGAACCCTCCTATACTGTTGGTGGGAATGTAAATTAGTTCAACCATTGTGGAAAGCAATATGGAGGTTCTTCAAAAAGCTCAAAATAGAAATACCATTTGACCCAGGAACTCCATTCCTAGGAAAGACACATATGCACCCCTATTGTTATTGCAGCACTATTTACAATAGCCAAGCAATGGAAGCAACCTAAGTGTCCATCAGTAGATGAATGGATAAAGAAGAGGTGGTACATATACATAGTGGAATATTATTTATCCATAAGAAGAAAACAAATCCTACCATTTGTAAGAACATGGATGGAGCTTGAGAGTATTATGCTCAGTGAAATAAGCCAGGTGGAGAAAGACAAGTACCAAATGGTTTCACTCATCTGTGGAGTATAACAATGAAGCAAAAACTGAAGGAGCAAAACAGCAGCAGACTCACAGACTCCAAGAAGGACTAGCCGTTACCAAAGAGAAGGGGTAGGGAAGGGTGGGTGGGGAGGGAGGAAGAAGGTGATTAATAGATATTATAATTAGCACACATAATGTAGGGGGTACACAGGGAAGTCAGTATAGCACAGAGACAACAAGTAGTGACTTTATAGCATTTTACTATGCTGATGGACAGTGACTATAATGGGGTACGTCGTGGGGACTTGGTAATGGGGGGAATGTAGTAACCACAATGTTGCTCATGTGAAACCTGAGCACAAAACTGTATATCAATGATACCTTAATAAAAAAAAAAGGAAAGAAATTCTGACATGTGGTACAAGATGAATAAACCTTGAAGACATTATACTAAGTGAAATGAAGCAGTCACAAGAAGATAAATACTGTAGATTCAAATTAAATGAGATACCTACAGTACTCAAATTCATACATAGAGAAAGTACAATGGCAGTTGCCAGGGGCAGGGAGAAGGAATGGGGAGTTGCTATTTAATGGGTACAGAGTTTAGTTCTACAGAATGAAAAGAGCTCTGGAGACAGGTCGCGCAGCACTGTGAGTGTATTTAACACTACTGAGCTGTATACTTTAAAGTGGTTAAGATGATAAATTTTCTATTGTGTGTATTTTGCCACAATTAAAAAAATTAATGTACAGTTAAAGTATAAAAAAATACAAAGGCTTGGAACTCAATTTATAAACTCTTTGGTCAACCTCTATAAATACACTACTAGTAATGAAGAGAAAAATTCAACTATGTTTTTGCCTTTAGGAAAAGTTTATCTTTATTTTGCACCTTTACAGATAGCATTCACATAGCTAATAACTTTTGATTTCTTATGTATTTGGCTGCAAAAGAACAGGAATTTGAAAATAAATCTGTAAGAAGCAAAGAAGCATGTTGTCTGTTTATACATTTGTTTACTGTCACCTTGGGGTGGGAAACAGAGCTTAAACCTTATTAACAGCAACAAGTAGGTCATTTGATCTGATAAATAGGAAGTGATTTACATCTCAAAAAACTAAGCATGACTCCCTCAAAATATATATAGCTTAAAAAAACTACAGTTTCATAGTATAATTATGTAATAAGCTGGAATTTGAAGGCACAAACTATTTGGAATAACCTCAATTAACCCTTCTGTTACATTAATAAACATCAAATTAAGGTAATTAAAAAGGTAGCAAATGCAATACACAATATAAAGTAGCATTTATATACAAATTAACATTTTAATAGTGTCTCAACACTAAAAGAAATTTCATTTTTAAATAAGGCAATTATATGAAAATATTACTATTCCTGCCATTTATATAAGAAATAATGTGAAGACAATCCTACCATCTTACACTTTATATCATGCACCAATCTCTACAATTAAAAATGGGAAAAAAAAGAAAAGGTTCAAATTCAAACTTACTCTGTGGCCATAAACAATGCTTGTATAACACTGTTCATATAACATGTATTTCCTAGATTAATAAGACCAGTTTTCCCAGTTTCAGACTTTCCAGAAAGTCTAGACAAGCAAGATGCCAAGGAATTGGATTGAGAAGTCCAGGCACTTTGACTGAAAATCAATTTAATCTTCTCTTCACTGGGCTTAGGAAAATCCTGTGGATCATAAAGAGGAAAAACAGTTTAAAAAGATAAACTATTTTTGTTATTAATTTAACCATAAAGATTCTTCCACTGACATTTAACCTTTCTTTTCTCTCATTCAGTTTTGAAATCACTGAATAGTACTTGACAAGTCTCATCAAAAAATCAAATGATAACCACACAGCCAAAATAACTGTCTCCAAAAATAAATATCTCCTAAAGGCACAGTTTATCAAGTTGAGAATACTCAAGAATCAGGAATTAAGTCACATTTGAGCTGATTTTATTTCCTATTTGCCAGCAAAATATTTTCAGAATAAAACTTTGAGGTCAGAGTATACTGTAGTGCTATTCAAAGGCAAAGAATGAGGACTTAAATTAGCACACAACTGAATAAGCTACACAAGTAATCTGCCTTCAAATTCTGTAATGACAATTAAGAAATATCTCCTTTTCATTAACTGCTAGTATTTACCAAGTATTACCCATTAGAAGTAAAAGCTCACATAACCAGTGAATGAAAAATGAAAAGGCATCTAATCACAATGACTTCTGACTTTGAAAAATAAAACTCAATCTAATGTTTAACCATACAGAAAATTACTATGAGATACAAAGTATTCTTACACACTTTGTGGCATATGAGATAAAGTTTTAAGTGTATATGACCTCAAGCATGAGTAGAGCACTTAAGAATAAGAAAAGATAGGGATGGGAGCCAAGATGACGGCATGAGTAGGACAGTGGGAATCTTCTCCCAAAAACATATATATTTTTGAAAATACAACAAATACAACTAATCCTAAAAGAGAGACCAGAAGACACAGGACAACAGCCAGACTACATCCACACCTGAGAGAACCGAGCACCTGGTGAAAAGGGTAAGATACAAGCCCCAGCCCGGCGGGACCCAAGCGCCCCTCACCCCAGCTCTGGCGGGAGGAGAGGAGTTGGAGCATGGAGGGAGAGGGAGCCCAGGACTGCTAAACACCCAGCCCTAGCCATCCGCACCAGAGCGCAGACACAGTGCATGTGTGGAGTGCTGGAAACTAGGGAAACAGGACAGCAAGACCTGTGAGCGGGTCCCAAAGCTGGCACCCCTGTGACAAAGAAAAGCAAGTGCTATTTGAAAGTCTTAAAGGGACAGGGATGCCACAGCTGGACGGAAGCATCCTGGGTCACAGTCCAGCAGCTGGAAATTCCAGAGAACTCCAGGCGCACTAACCCCCTGGGCAACAGTTCTGAGACCCCTCACAGAGGTAAAGAGCCAAACAGCCCCCCGTCCATTACCCCTCTGGGGCCCCACCATAGCAGATCAGCAGCCTGAGGCTGGCCACGCCCAAGCAAGGGAGCTTCCTCCATACCAGCTGGCCAAGATACAGAGACTCAGTCTACACACAATTGCCCAACAGAAGCCTCTAGGAGTCGCAGTTGTCCCAGTAAAGAGGCCAGGAGCTAGTGGAAAGCCTTAGCACTCCCAGCTGACAGAAAGCCAATAGCTCACCACTGCACCTATCAACATGAAAAGGCAAAAAAATTAGACCCAGACAAGACTAACCCACACAGCTTCGACATCTGCTACATCTTCGACATCTGCTACATCTTCCCCTGAAAAGGAACCCAGGGAGATAGATTTAACCAGTCTTCCTGAAAAAGAATTCAAAACAAAAGTCATAACCATGCTGATGGACTTGCAGAGAAATATGCAAGAGCTAAGGAGGGAGAATACAGAAATAAAACAAGCTCTGGAAGGACTTAAAAACAGAATGCACGAGATGCAAGAGACCATTAATGGACTAGAAAACAG